GTTTGCCACTGACAGCTTAATTAGCTGATTCCTCAGCTAACAGGGAAACATTCTGATTGACAAAACTTACTGGTTTTGGCTGAGATTTCAAAGTGTTTTCTTTACAATACGCTCCATGGCTATTTTTAAACTTCTTGCAAAGTTCACAGTTTAGCATTTTGATTCAGAGTGAAATTTGTCAACAGCAAAAATTGCCATCACCAGAGCAGTGCGTTTCTGAGGGAAATGGGAGGCATACAGCAGACCTGAAGGATGAGGAGCTCATCTTGAAAGTTGTGAGCTACAGCACTAGCAGCTGCCATATCCTGTTTCTCAGTCTGAGAAGAAAATGGGCACACTTGGTTGAAGAGGAACCCAAATAGATAGCTCTACAATTGAAAAAAATAGACTATAAAGGTGGCAAGAAATGAAATTATACCATTTGTACATAACTTGCAATGACCTTTTGCTGTCAGTACCAAACAAAACTGTGCATAGCTTCAAAAGGGACTCAGAAACCCAAGTGGAGGAAAATAAGGTGTAAAACTTGATATTGATGGATGCACCCTAAAGGAACAACCATCACACCCCCTACTTTAGTCTTGTTAGCTGCAACAACTCAGAATAAAGACACAGGAGTCGCTGGAACTGGGTAATGAAACTTCTCTCCCAGAGCAGTTAAAAAGGAAAAAACAATGAGCTATGAAAGGAGGGATGGGTATAAAGTTCTCAAAACGTCATCACGTCATTAAATACAGTTTGCTCAGTACTGGAATATTGTGTATTGCTGATATTAATATACAGAAAAGAGAGATTGAAAATAAGATGATTGATTACTTTGGAGGAGGGCTAGAGTTAGAGAAAATACAACAGATATAAAAGAAATTAAATATCTCAAGCAAATAAACAGAAACTATCAATCAACATCATCTGTGAAGTCCATCTCTGAAATATCAAGTGGGACTTTACACTTCTGGAACATAAGCACATGCTAAACCGATTTGCAAAAACAAAATTAAGTATCTAAGAGGAGAATGCAAAAATACTTTGAATTGCTAATTTGAGTGAAAGGCATTGACATAACTTCTCATATTTTGGCAGTATGAAATGATCCATATTCAAAGGTAATAATGATTAAAAGCATGTCTGTAAAGGAAGATAAATGGGAAGTCAACAATTTTGATTTCTGTAAGCACCTGATGTTACAAAACATTCATAAGCCTATTGTAGGGCCCTTAGTGAATAGGAAAGCTCTCTTGGGCCAGCACATAAGTAAGACTTCATTTATTCATGGTACAGTGGACTATTGCTATTCGTGACATGTTTGCTAATTAAAAACTCTGAAGCAAGAAAAGAAAAAATGAAAGAAAAAAAGTCATATATTTCAAAATCATTATATCATCACCGTCAGTAATAATGTCTACCAGTGTATATTTATAAATCTGCCTAAAGCACTTGTAATTTTTGCTTTGTAATAAAATAGGAATGATGCTTACACATCTCTATTCATTTCTGGAAAAATCCTGCAGTAATATGCACTACACATGAATATTTATCAGAGTAAAAATTATTATGCCCATATTTAATTTTTAATCTGAGATCTTGGATATCGTTATCTTTCCTGGCAGTATTCGGAGGAATAATTTCATAATTTAGTAGTGAAAAGAACTGCAAATGAACCATAAGTAAATAGAACAGAACTATCTTTTGCAAAGATGGGAGAAAGGGAGACCAAGAGTATGCAGGCTGCATGTGAAAACCTACAGAAAATCAGACATATTTAATGCATGACAGGTCTCCTTGCCTTGAATTTTGCCTCCAGAGCATCCTCACTCAGGAAATATATCTCTAAGCAGGTCTTGTTTCTGTGCCTGGGTCCTGGACTGATGTGGTCACGTTACAGTCTCAGGTGTTCTGGTTTGTTTTCGTCGTGTGAAACTGTTGCTTTTTTGGTTCAGCTTTGCTGAAAAAGTTTCTAACCGTAACAGTTATAAGAAAAAAAATCTTGAAAACAGAAATCCAGCATAGCCCATGGCAATAACACCGACCTTCACCGGCAGGTCAGTGACAAGAAAAGGGGATGTGTAAGAGGGCTACACAGAACCAAGGGGTTTGTTTTACAGAGCTGCTCGTATTTGTCTGCTCCTTGAGCTCATGCAGACATAAACCCTGGTGCCATCAGCACCCCTGAGTTGATAGGTGCCAATTTGCCATCTGTGCCCAGCTTTTCCCTGCTCAGGAAACACGGAGAGCATATAATTACTACTAAAATAACTACCGATAGGACAAGAGGAAATGGCTTCAAGCTGCACCAGGGGACATTCGGGTTAGATATTAGGGAAAAAACCTACACAGAAAGAGTGGTGAAGCATTGGAACAAGCTGCCCAGGGAAGTGGTGGAGTCCTTGGCAGTGTTCAAGAAATGTGTAGATGAGGCACTTGGGGTCATGGTGGGGTGACCATGTGCAGATGGGTGAAATGTGTAGATGAGGCAGGGTGGGGCCATGATCTTGATTATCTTGAAGGTCTTTTCCAATCATGGTGATTCTATGATTCTACATATGGGAAAATCCAGCCCAGCAGAAGTTCAGACCAATACACAAAGACCCCGACTAAGGTTTAGAAAATGGGACAAATCAGCATGATACAAAATAGATACCTTTTAAATGCTTGATGCAACAGAGAGTCAGACAGACCAGGAAAAAATGAAATTAGGACTCCTGCAACTCTTGCCATCAGCCTAGCCTGGATTTAGCATTTGAGAAAGGTCTTACTGACAGCTGTCATTGGCCACAGGATCACTGTTCAGCTGCATAAAACTAAGCAATGGGTGAATAGAAGCTTTCCTGGCTCAAGCCAAAAAGCTTTTCATAGCACTAAACTCTTAGAAAAGGGGAAAAATTCCTGACAACTATGTAGTTACTATCCACGCCAGTCAAAGAGTGGCTGTTTTTGTATATTCAAAGAAATTCACTTAGTTTTAAATGCTTCAGTAAAGAAAGAGTGAGCTTTGCAAAGCCATCTGCAGGAGCTGCACACCCAATTCCTTTAAAATTAATGGCCACCAAGCACCTAAAAATTGTAGGCAGTTTAAAATACTAAGTGGAGCAACCAGTACAACTAGAACGCCGTACTACAGATCATTAAATCTCCAATTTATTACATATTCAGCATAAAACTTTCTGTCTTTCACTTGGTCCTCTTCCTTCTAGTTCTGCTTTCTGGATCTAAGGCCGCTTCCTCCCTTGCTGTGGTGCTTAAGCACCCCACGCACAGCAATCACCTTGCTTGTCAAACACACATCCAGCTCCTTTCAATCTTTGTGAATCAATCTCTTCAGACATTTATACACTTTGTCATTCTCCCCTGACTTCTTTCCAGTGTGCCAACAGCTTTCTGGGTTTGAAGGACCCGAAATAAACACTGACTTTCTCACCAGGGCCTGATGAACAATCCACAGCCAGTATAAGTCTCTCTCACTGATTCCTTATGCTTTGTCTCGTTCCATAACAGCATCAGGATTAAGAATGAGAAATTGCCTCTATCTTGGCAATATATGAAGCTCCATGGACAGTGGGAGTACCTCTAGGTTTGACACATGCACATTATAAGTCTGAGATATTTTTGTTGGAAACTTCCCCCCACTTTTTACCACTTTTGCTACATCTACCCCACCTGCTCTTGAACTCACCTGGCACTGGGTCAGGCCTTGCTGACTGGCACCGGGACTGCCTGCACAAGCTGCTGCCGTCATTGCCCATGGCCAGTGGTCTAATCAGGGAGAAGTGAGGGTGCGTGGGTGCATATGGACTTTGGCACCAAGCACTCCGCGCAGGGAACAGCGGTGCAGAGGGCTTTTCTGCCCTGTGAACAGAAAATCCATTAAGTTTTTTGTGTGGCTTTTACACATTTTGCATATGATGTGCAAGGGACAAATGAAATATGCATACTGTATTTATTACTGCATTATTTATTGTATTGTATTATCATGTTTATTACTGTATTTTGCATAGATATACTGTTTTTACTGCACACATAAACTAAATCTCAGCAATATTCATAAAAAACAGCGCACATATTTTTGACATATTTTGCCCTTAGTTGTAGGTGGAAGGCTTGCAACTTCCATATTGCTTGACACATCATATTATAATTTTCTATTTTGATTGCTTATAATTATGCCAGAATTGAGCCCTTTGCACCAAATTTTCGTATAATTTCTCCCTGCCTCTGATTTAGTTGCTTTAGAAAGCTTGAGCAAAACAGATTCAGCCATTTTCAATGACAATTCTTATGAAGAACAGTTTAATCTACGCTGAAATATGCTCATTTTTGAACCCCTCCAGCCATAGCCTGGAGAAGAAATCTAGAGAAGAATAACCAGTCCAAACACAGGAAGAGTCACCAACTTTTCCTGTGAGAATACATCCAAATAGGTTAATGTCTTGGTTTTGAAATACTTCTACTTCTCTGCACATATTTTTTCTGTCATGAATGTGTTTAAGAGCCTCTGGAACCCAAATTCTGGAGGGCATTAAGAAACTTCCTTATTTAAAGACTTCCTTACTTAAAATAGTCTATGGCTCTGGATGATGTTTCCTGACTGAGGCCAAGCTGTGGCTGTGGACCAGCCTAAGTCCACAGTCAGTTCAATGAACCTTCTTGCTTTTCATGGTGCTGTCGATTCTGAGTTTGATACAGATATTATAAGGTGGTTTTGACACGATTCAGAAAGCATTGGTTATCAATCACTATTTCAGTCTAAAGTGTAATGGACTGAGGGAAAACTGAGTTCAGGCATTTCCAAAGATGAAGTTAAGTAGTTCTGTGAACATCAACATCTGGGGCTGAAAACTTTCCAAGTTTTATATTCTGGATGATGGCTTCCATGCCCATGAAGCTCAAATGGTGAATAATATGCGGTGATCAAGTCACACTTCAAGACTTTTACTTGAATTTTACTTTCCACTTAGTCTTAGACACTCGTTCTCTTACAAAGYCAGGCAGGCACGGTGCTGTAATTACAGAGTGCGTTCAGTGAAGGCTGGATACCTTTTAATGAAGCTTTGTCTTTTTGTTCTTGTTTGCCCGGGGTCAGGCCTTTTCCACTCTGTGTCCATCATCGTAGGTTCCTGTTCCCTTTCCCATTTCTCTTGCTGCTCTGATGGTGAGGAAGATGGTTTCATGATSTTCTCCAAGTTTTCCCTATCTTCACTTGACCCCCATCCCTGCCTTCTGCCACACTGATGAGGAATATACCAGGCAACAGCCTGAAAAAAGCAACATAAACATCACTGCTTATTTATTCTGCATTTTCTCATCAATTATTGCTTATTGTAGACGAGCCAGGGCTGAAAGAGCTGAAGGGCTGTAAGGGTAGGCGCTCCTAGGAATTTCTGAGACATTTGCCATTGGAGAGAGAAATACTGATGGCATCCACCTAACTCGAGCTTTTTCTCATTGGTCTTTAAAATCCATTTCCACACCTCAAATGTATTTAGGGTAGATTGGCCATGTAAGAGCTTTAAAACAACTCTTCTTCGTTAAAGTGCAACACACAAAGAGGATGACAAAAGGAGATATGACAACTGCAAGTTTGTCAAAGGCTGYGGAAGGCAGAAAGAGCAATCTGTTCTCCATGTTCACAGTGGATAGGAAGGAATGGATGTAAACAGAGACAACAGAAGTCAAGTTTAGGCTCTAAGAAAGCTTCCTGGGTGAAAAAAAACACAGTGATTTTGGACAAGACACTAACCTGACCATTAGGTTCACAAAGAATGGTAGCACAGTTGAAGCCAGTCCTGAATCTCTCCAGGTTCTTCCATAGAAAATCAGAGGGAGGTTTGTGAAGCACTTCAGCAYCTGCTGCCCAAACCTGCAAAGATCAAGCAGCCATCAGATTAAATACAAAATGGTTCCTGGATGTTTATTTAATATATGGACTCTATAAAAGCATTAGGTTTTCCTCTTCCCTTCTGATTTTTGTGACACTGCCCCCTATTTTATCTGTGGCATCAAAGCTGAAAGAACTTGCTGCTTAGTTATACCGTTTATTTTCAAGCACCTCTCCTGTGGATTAACAAAGATTAGCAAAGGCACATTTTTCAAGGAGTGATAGCAGGTCCAGGGCTTTTTGGCCCAACTTGCTGAGAGTAAGATTAAAAATAGGTAGCTTCTTTTATTTTCTGAATTACTAGGGAGTTTTGAAGAGATCTGTGATATCAGCTTTAAAATTCCAGTCTCGGCTTGATTCTGGATTCCCTCTATTCAGGGAGAAGCTGTCTCAGTTGGGGAGTTGAAAAAAAAAATGTACTTTTGTCTTTATACAAAAGATTTGACAATGCTGTCATTTACAAATTTAAAACAATTATTTGTGACCTTTACCACTAACACAGCAGCAAAAGGACCCATTATGAAAACACTTCTCTTACATAAGAGCCACAGCATACTTTTGCAAACAGTGTTCCTAAAGGATTTGGCATTTGCCATCTGTGAGAAAGTATCTTTAACCATTTCCTGGCACCCAAAACAATTCTCCTTCAATTTTAAAGGAGAAATGTCTTGGGGAAAAAAAAGTGCTCTCTTCCAAAGTGCTCACCATACGGCTCTCTGCCAAGGAGTATTTGTGGCTTTCCAGACTTACATCAGAAGACAGCAGCAACTGTGGCTCTTCTGGGCTCCTGCCAGCCTGCATTTCCAGCAGGCTCACAAGAGGGCTCACACAGGGCAAGCATGAACTTGGCTGATGAACATGGACTTTTCCTCATTTTATTCTGTAGAGCCTCAATTTTCATCTCAGAAACGGAAGCAAGTCCTGGTAGTAAAGGAGGCTTCAGCCCAAACTCCAACCATCACCTCTTGCATCTACCTTGACTGTCTTACCTTGTTCATCTCTTGTCCTCACTTGGAGCTGGGATATGGAAGTGCTGTGTAACTGTCTGTCTGACAGGCACCAACATTACTGCACGTGAATTTTATATGCAAGAACAGGCAGGCTGAACACTGCTCTTTGAAATGAATAAACTAGCAGAAATTTCCTGCTTGCATTTGCTGACACAGTAGACCTTCTATGTCAGTCAGTTGCTCACCCCAAAGTCATTTAATGATAATGGGAATGGCAACCTTGTAAAAGTCCTCAGCAGTGATCAGATCAGAGCATTTCAGAAAGAGTAGGGAAAAGTGAACATTTTTCTTTTTTTTTTTTTTTTAATGGTTGGAGCATAAAATCCAATAGCAGGACACCATTTCTGTGGACCTCTGCAAGGTGCCTTGCAGCCAGCAGWTTTATCCAGCACAGCAAAGGCTGTGGCAGGTCAGAGGATGGGTTTGGTGCTCGCTATTTTCATCCCAGACATTGCTGGAAGCTGGCTGTTGTTCTTGAGCAACACTTATGACTGAGCCTCATTCACACTGAGTTCACATGTCCAAGCATTTTTAATTACCATGGATGTCAAATGCATATTAGTGTTGTTTTCTGCTTAAAGCTGTTCTGGATAAGGATGAAGTCGTCAGATTTTTGGTATGTTATATCCTATCTAGGTCTCTATTACTCATTCAAGATGGCAAAAAGGTACATCAGAACTCCTTGGAGAGGAAGCCATTCTTTTGTAAAGTAGCAGCTCATGTATTTGATTTTTAACATATAGTTCTGACATGAAATCAAAGGAGAGCTCATCATCTTCATTTATTTTCAGAGTGGAAAACTAAGGCACAGAAAGTTAGTGTTTGCTATAAGTTTTTCAAGGCAAAACCAGGAACAGAACCCCATTGAAAGGACACTGTTTTTTGCCTTACTGTGATAGATCACAGCTGTCTCCAGAAAGTGYGCACAGGTTGAATGTACACGACTATTTTCTTCATTCGATACCCTACTACAGCTACCTCCTGACTACACACAGAATGATATTAGTGGCATATGGAATATATAGCATTAGTTGCAAATGCAGTTTGCCTCCTTTCCAATTCTAATTTTTGTGGTTTCCTGATCTAAGGTTTCAGTCCACACCCACTGTTGGCAAAAAAGAATGGCATGACCATGGASAGCACAGAGTGCTTCTATGAGCAGTGATCGGAAATAGGAAGGCATTGAACAAGGACTTTCCAGGATTTCCATTACTGGGCAGCATGAAACATTGGACATTTCATGAGAATGTCAGATTTGTTCTGGTGGGAGGCACTAGCAGCTTCTTTTGGATTTATCATGACTTGTGTCAATCTTTTCCAAAATATGATTCCATACATGCAATATGCACACACACTCACCGTCACAACAGAGCCGGGTGCCATTCTGATCTTTGGGGGAAACCGGAATACCGCCACTGGTTGACCTTGGACATTCTGCATCAGGAGATGGTCCCCAATGCTCTCCTCTTTTTCAAGGGCACAGTTCAGGATTTTCAGAAAAAGACCACCTGGATGAACGTCAGCAATTATCAAGTTTCCAGTAGCACTGAAAGAACAGAAGTAGATTCAAAAGTGTAAAAGCCTAATTGAAAAAGAAGAAAAAAAAAGAAGTATTTCCTTATAACCACTTTTCTACATGTCAGTTGTTAAGGATAAGTAAATGTACCATGGACAGAATGTTTTCAGCGCTGCCTTTTTACCTTTCATACAGTAGCTTTCTTCTAAAAACTCCATTTGCATTAAAATTAGTGTATCTTATTTATCTGCTGCCTAACTAACTAACTTCTAACTAACTAACTTCTGCCTATCTAACTTCCATTACTATCAGAAATTGAAAGATTTCTTATGAGGCAAAAAGTCACCATTATACCATTTGCATTTGCTTTTGCCTAAATCTATAGGACACTATCTCTAAGGCTGTTCCTTCCACCCATCAGCCTCTATCCACCTGCCTCTCACTCCTCTTTACTCCCGCCTGGAAAGAAAGACAAATCTTTATTAGGAACTCCTTACTATCAACGCAGAAAGATTCCATGTGGCAAGGATTAGATTTCATCTCTCTTTCAGAATTATATGAAAGCAGGATCCACTATGTATCTGCAGTAAGGTCAGGGACTTTTTGCCTGAGTAGGGGATCCCACAGTTTCCCCCAAGCACTGGAAAACAGATTTATCCCTTGACTCTTCCTTTAAATAACATGTGTATCAAGAGAGTGCTTTAAAAARCTCTGTCCCAGACTGCAATGGTTATCACAGGTCTTATTAGACATGTTGTGAATGACGTCTAAGAATCATTCGACTTTTCATTGTGTTTAATTATTTAGCACTGGTGCAGTGTCTGCCTGCTGTGTGTGTAAGGGCTTTGCCCTTGCTGCATTTGTCTTGTTCCAGTAAGTCCTGTACGTCTCTGTGTATAGGAAAGGTTGACGCAATAGCCCAGAGAGCTGATGTGTTTGCTTCACCTAGCAAAACACTCATGGAGAGTGTGACAAATTCTGCCCACCCAGCCCAGATAACTCAGCTGTGCAGCAGTGCCGTGAGTCACGCTTGCTCACGCAGCCTCTGGGCTGCCGCGGGCACTGCTCAGTTTGGAAGCCGAGGCGGGGGAGACCCGTCCCCTCCGTGGGCAGACAGGAGCGCTGAGCGAGTCTCTCCCTTTGGCGCGTCTTCCCTTTTGCAAAATCTGATAATTCCAGAGCATTCCTGCTCCCATCCTGGTCCATTTGCACTTTGGCAGGGAGAGGCCTGGAGAGAGCCTTGCAGARAGGCAGTGCCTGCGGCAAGCTTTGGGCAGCCAAATCAGGTTGAGTTGTTGTTCCTCACGTTCACACACTCTTCCCTCTCCTGGCTGCTTCTTTGTACCCAGCCACTGCAGTTTGCCACCTTTCACCCTTCCTCTCTGCTTGTGGGACCAGACTCTAAGCCACCTCACTGAAATAACCCAGCATTAAACAGTTTTGGGGACATTATTTTGACCTGAGTTTTCAGCAGGTTCTGCAAAACACTGTAGCAATACAACTGAAGGAATAGCAAAGTGTAACTGAGAGCTTTTCAAAATACTGATGCAGAGAGTGATCCTGTAGTCTCCCTGAAGTTCTGGTCATCACTTGCACATTGGAGGTGGAAAATGCTGCCTCTCAAGCCCACTGTTACTTTCTATAGTCCTACAACCCCTGAGCTCCAGTGCTGGACTAGAACCCCACTGAATTTGGTGCTCTAAAAACAGAGTAACAGAGACCATCAGAAATTCCTGCCATTTTTGCCCTCTCAGCGGGTGTAGGGCCAGTTATGGTGAAGTCTTTTAACCTGTATAGTGGAAAAAGTTCTTGCTGATGACTCTGAAATTTAGATAGACTCTTCTCCCATTTCTATTTGTCTGCCAAAGGAATAAGGAAGTTTGTGTAAAGAAGAAGCCTTGGGTACCAAAATATATCTAGGAAGAGGATAGACAAAAGCAAACAGGGAGGGGAACCTCTTAAAATATTTGTAAAAGACCACTTTGATCAKGCAACTTTGTAAGCAGCATGATCCTAACTGACAGCAGAGTGAATCAAAGGTCTAGGTAGTAAGCATTAAGGCATGGTTTTCCATAAACAAGACTTTATTTTGACCTTAATGAAGCCAGKGAGACTTAGGAATATAAAATAGAGCTGACAAGTTTTTGATACAGTGCAGGAGATTGATAGAGGAACAGGTGATAGGACATGGGAATTCAGGATTGGATACTCTTGAAGCTCTTGAAGGGAGGTTGTGGGGGAAAAAGTAAAACATCTAGGACTTTCAAGGATTTGCGCAATCAGCCATTCACTGGATGGCAATAGACTTTTATGGGTTTAAATGAAGGAATAACCTCTCTAAGGAGATGTTACTGAARGTTTTGAAATTCTTTTTAGAAAGTTAGTTTATGTCTCAAAATATTGGACCAGMTCCTAGGAGACAAGAGCTAAAGTGCTGAAGTGCATAGAGGAGAGGTCAATGTGCATCAATGCTGTGCTTTCTTCTGCTACAGCTAATATCCTGTGTTGGAACAGTCTCCAAAAGTTTGAATAATGCACACAAAGCTGCATGTTGCCACAGGGGAGAGAAAATGTCAGTGCCCTTGGCACCACAGGGCACATCAGCCACACACCTATGACCAGCCACTAGGATGTCACTTGAACAGGTCCTCTCTGCACTGGTGGACRTAACAAAATGGCATTTTAACTACAAAACATGCCAAGAACTAAGTTCCTAGGAAACTAAGAAGTTTCCTAAGAGCATCGGCTTTAGGAAAGTTATTGATTGACACAATTATTATGTTGGGAATGACTTGCCTCCAGGAGCGCAAATCTATTTATTTGTACGCCACCAGATTTGACTACAGCAGAGAGAGAGGACAGGAAAAGTCATAGGTGAAGGTACAGATCCATAYTTGCCCAAGACTGCAAAACGTTGCATACAGGGTGGTTGTAGGCCTGAAATGGCAAGGTTCAACTGAGATGCACAGAGCTGTACAGATCAGGACATCTGATAACTAATCCCCAGTGAGAGTGTATCATATGCACTTAGTTGCAAAATAGATATTGAACATTTTCAATACCTGCAAACAAAGATTCAAGTGTCACTGTCTCCTTTTCTTCTGCAACACAGTCCCTCCAAAAATATGTTGCTTTAACTTTGGTCAGGAGCAAAAGCTAGAGAAAGACTTGGTGCTACATTCACATGCAACACACAATGGCTGTATCCAAACATTAGTGCCAGGACACATGTGATAATCTTCACTACACACATCTAATAGCTGAAAAACCTGGTGCAATATGTGGCCTCAGCTCCCATTTCTCAGTATCCATGACTAACAATGTGATTAAATGTATGGCCATCAAAGCACTCCAAGTATTTTCACAAATAATTCTCAATAACAGAGTTGCAAATTAAACTTGATTACAAAAAATATCCAAATATCCCAGTGGGCCTAAATCATGTATTTCTACTAAATTTGTGTATACTTGCACTGTGGCTTCACTACAAATTAGATATRGATAGATGAATCATGAGTAGTATAGAATTATCACCAAAATAGGTGTGCACCATATATCTTCACACTAACTCCAAAGCTGCTGTATAATGCAGTATCAAATTAAAAGATTGTGTATTGTGAATTACAATGCAATTTTATTTCATTAGGGCCTATACCAAGAAAAAGTACAATTTAAATTCAGAATGAAATAAAAAAGAGTGCTAGTGTTCTAGTATTGATGAACACCATTGTAGTAATAAATCAAAGGAGAATAAAAAAAAAWAAKAAAAAAAGTCTAAATTAACATTTAACAAGTTTAACCACAAACAAACCAAACTGTCATTGCCTTGTGTTCTTGTACTCTTTATCTTCAACAATTAGCAGAGCTAATGATTTCTCTTGCTTTCTACATGGGACAAGACGTGACTCAATCCCCACTGGAAAGTAGTTCGCACAATGCAAGGAAACACATAAAGGGGAAGATAATCTCTTTTATCTCTTAGTGCTTATCTAGAGGGGTTTTTTTCTCCCCAAACTCCACCAAACAGCACTTTGTATCTCGTTATTTAGAAATAGCTGTAGAGCTCTGAACATAACAGGAGTTTTCTTGCTGGCTTTCAAAGGTGCCTTTTGTTATAGCTCTCCCTATAATGTCCTGAGAATTACACAGATCTCAYTAAGGAAACACATTCATGAAGAAGCACTGAGGGTTTACAAAGACTAAGTCCATGAGAGAAATGCATATAAAATTGACAGAATTACAAAATGAATAAGGCAGAGAGAGCAGCAGGCATCAAAGAGCTGGGACTCAAAAAAAGCATTTGATGAAGTGCCTCTCAAAATATTATCTCCCATTGGCTTAGATATAAATACAGTCACAGAAAATATCTGAAGCCCTGAGAAGAAGGAGTAATCATAGACAAAGGTGTTAGGTCTCCTGTGGTACCTAGAGGGACTCCAGGTAGCTCTCATTTCATGGAACATTTCCACTTGTGATGTGGAAGGGGCAATAAAACAGCTGGCTAATAAAATATGTAGATAATAAAGCTTGGAGGAGAGAGCGGGGAAACACAGATGAGGACAAGGGAAATAGTACAAAGAGTCCATGATAGCTCAGAAATATGGACAGGAAATATGTGAGATGCAGCTCTTGGAAAGTGGTAAACTGATTTATCAGTAGGGAAATGCATTCCTCACTGATAAATTCGCGGTTATTTCCCCACTWCTCTCAAGTGTTCACTGTCACTGAGAAAAGTCAGCAAGCAGCAATGCCGAAAGAAGGCTAGGAGGAAGCCAATGATGCATTTGCAAAGTGACAGAGAGAAAAAAGGCTGTCATAGCTTTCTGGCACCATTCGTGTTMATCAGGAACACACAAAGTGGAAGATCCCCTTCGTGCAGGAGAGGGAAAATGTGAAGAACTGATCTTGATTTTCACACGCACCACTGTGGCTTCACTAACTGTAAGAAAATTCCTCTTAAATCCTYCTTATGTCAGGAATAGGTGCCAATGAATGAAATTCTCCTGCTTCTAGTAAAGGCAATCTACTCCAATCTACAGAGTTCATCTACTCCTAACTTCTTGACCTGAAGGACCAAAAAGGTCATCTTATCCATGATGCTTTGTTTTGTTTTAATCTGCTACACAACTAGAAATTATGGATTTAGGCTGGCATGAATCCAGAATAAAATGCATTAAGTTAATTCCAGGACACTTCAATACCGAAAAGTTATTGATAATCAGGAAGGAATCACAGAGGGATATAAAAAACAATGGGAGATCTGAGGGCTAATATGTGCCAAAAAGATTAAAAGTGATAAAACGCTCATCTTAACTAGATAATCACAGAGGCAATGGGGATGTGTGATATGAGAATGAGTATGACTGATGGGTGGAAAAACCCCMAAAGGCAAAGCATTATGAGCTTGAACTACCAGTTCAGCCATACTACTAGTATGATAGAAGTTCAACATTATGAAAGACAATATTACTAAAAAATATGTGCTTCCCTACCCACTGAAAAATGTGAAACAAATTCCATAAAAAAACAGTGTCCATATTGGGGCAAGTTTTTAAACTGGGGTTGTCAGTTATCCTAATTTCTGTGAAGGAGGCAGTGCTAAGACAGTGACTCCAGCTGAGGATCAATTTGTGCAGGTCTTTCCCACTCCTGGTACCCGCAGAGCTAAATTAACTATGGCAAATGCCTTTCTGGGACAACTAGCTTATCCAGGAGATAATACTTCATTTTTTTAATGGCATTTCTAGGTTGACATAAAATATGTAAAGCCCAATTCACTGTCTTACTTGCCTTGCACTGCCTCAAGTACCTTTATGCAGCTTGTGTGGTGGGACCCTTTAAAGATCTCTTCAGTGTCAGTTCTGTTCTTGGAATCAAAACTGGATGGCCTCAGTTGAAGACAAGTCMAAACTAACTATGAGATACAGGGTTTCAGTTCCTTTTTTTGGGGCTGCCACCACAAACAACGGATCTCTGCAGCCCTGGACAGAATATAGTAGCAAACACTGAAAGGGACATGGTGATGAAGGGTGATTTACCCTTTCTGAAGGTAAATTCCCATTTAGGGACAGTTACCCCTAAAGCATTGAGAGAAATCCTTGCATTTCAAAGTCTTTGAGGTCTCTCATGGTCTGCTGGATAATAACTCAGCTGCTTATGAAAGGTTTGTTTGTGTTTTGCTGCTCCCCCAAGGGAGATACTGCCGGAAATTGCCATGTCTTCGCTACAAAATTAAATCRCATGTACCTGAATGCAGACTTTTGGTAGTCATCATAAATTGAATGCATCCTTCCATGACTGTCCATGAATCCAAGGCTCTGGTGAGCACCCAGAGTGAATGAGGGATGAACAGGGTTCCAGCTTGATATTTCAGCATGATCTTTGGGCTGAGCTGGTGAGTTAGCAAAAGACAAAGATGTTGAGTGATGTAATATTAAGGAAAAGACAAGTTCTGAGAAACAAGAATGGAACATTTAATTTCCTCTTTGCCTCTAATTGCAAAGCACTGCTTAGCAAACTCTTCCTTCAAAGCTTTAAACCAATGGCTATAAAATAGAACACAGCCGGTAAAGTGAATATTTTGTTGCTGACATGTAGATTTATTACCTCATTAGAATTACCTTGGGTAGCTAAAAAAAAAAAAAAMCATGCTCTCAGTGGTATAATTCTGTATTCTCAGTGCATTTAGAAGGCACGGTCTCATCTGTGAGCTGACAATGAATATACCAGGACTTCTTTACACTTTCAAAATGAATATGATAATATCCTCTAATCCCTTTTATGTTCTCCTTTTCTAACATAAGTGTCCAAGAGAGACCATGAGGGACTCCCCAATCTGGCAAAGACACAGAGAACTGTAGAGAGGTAATGTGCTCCGTGGACTAAGAAAATGCTTCTCACCTCCCACACCAAAGTCTCCCCCAGAAACTAAACCATTTCCAGTGCCTGCTTTGCAAACTCTGCAATTACAATCTCCTTCACTGTTAAACCTTGAATGTCATAGGAGAGACTCACTCCATCAGGCAGCTTATCCTAATAAGATTCAGCGGGGCAGTGAGTAGCCTTGACTGTTGTGAGAGGATCTGTCCCTCATTAGATCTTAGCCCTGAAATGATTGGAACACGAACTAGCTTCATTTGGCCCAATGCCTGTGTCATAGAGCACCACTGCAGTGCAGATTATCTTCACCAGCTCACTGGGACTGCCATCTCTAGCTAGATAATAGTTTCAATTTTCCATATGAATATTTTCATATTGAAAGTTGAGTATTTTCAACTTGGAAGTAGAATATGTTCAAAAGTTGAATATGTTCAACTTATTCATTGATGACCTGGATGAAAGGATGGAGTGCTCCCTCAGCAAGTTTGCTGATGATACCAAACTGGGAGGAGTAGCTGATAGCCCTGAGGGCTGTGCTGCCATCCAGAGGGACCTGGACAGACTGGACAACTGGGCAGTGAGAAACCTCATGAAGTTCAACAAGGGTAAGTGCAGGGTCCTACTCTTGGGGAGGAATAACCCCAGACACCAATACAGGCTAGGGACTGACCTTGTGGAGAGCAGCCCCGTAGAGAGGGACCTGGGCGTCATGGTGGAGGACACGTTGACCATGAGGCAGCAGTGCCCTGGTGGCCAAGAAGGCCAATGGGATCCTGGGGTGCATTAAGAAGAGTGTCTCCAGCAGGTTGAGGGA